TATTTTAACAGGGAATGATCTCCTAACCTTGGGTTTTTAGTTTAGTGTGGGTTATCTTTTCTTTCTCCCTTAATTGTAGTCATCCCATCCCCAATTTTTCTTGGTAGTTATGTAGTATTATAAAAAAATAAATAAAAAATCCCCTCCGGGGGCTCAAAAAGAAGAAGAAGAAGAAGAAGTGTGCATGCACACAAAAGCTTATACCCAAAATCAAACTTTGTTGGTCTTCAAGGTGCCCCACTGGACTCAAAATTTGCTCTGTTGCTTCAGACCAACACGGCTACCTCACCTGAATCTTATCTGAAAACCCGTTTTCCTTTTAGGCGCTAACGCGGGCACGGACGATGGCATCAGCTGGGGCCGATTCTGTAAGGTAGGCGCTCCTGATCACCAGCGAATTGCACGGCGCTGAATCCCAGCCCACATGGAGCTCTGTTTGGAACTGTTGATCTCCACGGGACAATGATCACATGTCATTTCTGACCCTTTAAATTGATGGGCTCAAACAGAATTCCGCTGAACATTGCGTTCGCCATAAATGAGAAACAAAGCTTCCTTTGAATACGGTGGGGGGGAGCTTTTTCATCATATGGTCATGTGGTTTTCATCACCATGGAAGGTATGAAATACGGGCACGGGACTCTTGAGTGCATGAAGCTGGGTTGGAGCCAGACTGTGTTTCCCGCTAACGTAAGACGCTTATGTCAGTGGAACAGAACTCTTCCACTCCCCTCCCTTTCCACAGCAGCCCTCTGGTCTCTAAAATGCTGTTTCTGGGGGACGGGACCAATGCTCCCTCTAAGCTGTGGAGTCTCGTGAGCAAAAATTCTACTTTGCGAGCTACTAGCATTAAAGTTGTGAGCGAGCGATTTGGCTCCTGCATCAATTAGTTTGCTCTGGAGCCCCATCCTCCCTGAGCAAAGACCAAAATCTGTGAGCCGGAGGCTAAAGAACTGTGAGCTGGCTCACACTAACTCAGCTTAGAGGGAACACCAGACGGGACCCTCAGGAATGGCATGAGCAGCAATTGGGGGGGGGTCTGCAGCAGGAAGACAGAATGGAGGAAATCACGCCCCCCTTCCATTTGCGGAATGTTCACTCTGGATCCAACCTGCTTTCTTGTACGGAGTCAGACCCAAAATCTGGACTGTCCCCTCTGTCCGGTAGTGACTCTCCAGGGTCTTCCATAGAGGTCTTCGGTATCAACCTACCCCCTGATCCTTTTAGCTGAAAATGGCCAGGCTTGAACCTGGGGTCTTCTGCATGTCAGGCAGACACTACCGCTAAGTCACGGCCCCTTCTCAGTGGAAAGGTACCCCCCACACACACTACGGGGCATGGTTTTCTCTTCCGTGCCAGATCATGGCAATGCTTCCTTTTTGCCAGGAACAGTGCAGGGAGCCCAGTCTTTA